TAGAATGGGAAAAAAATTTTTACAATCTACCCATCTGACAAAGGGGTAATATCCAGAATCTACAAAGAACTTAAACAAATTTGCAGGAAAAAAATGGAACAACCTCATCAAAAAGTGGGCAAAGGATGTGAACAGACACTGAAAAGAAGACATTTATGCATCCAACAGACACATGAGAAAATGCTCATCATCACTGTCTATAGAGTAATTCAATCAAAACCACAATGAGATCTCACACCAGTTAGAATGGCGATCATTAAAATGTCGGGAAAGAACAGGTGCTGGAGAGGATGTGGAGAAATAGGAACACTTTTACTTTGTAGGTGGGACTATAAACTAGTTCAACCATTCTGGAAGACAGTATGGCAATTCCTCAAGGATCTAGAACTAGAAATACCATTTGACCCAGCCATCCCATTACTGGGTATACACCCAAAGGATTATAAATCATGCTGCTATAAGGACACATGCACATGTATGTTTATTGTGGCACTATTCACAATAGCAAAGACTTGGAACCAACCCTAATGTCCATCAATGATAGACTGAATTAAGAAAATGCAGCACATATACACCATGGAATACTGTACAGCCATAAAAAAGGATGAGTTCATGTCCATTGTAGGGACATGGTTGAAGCTGGAAACCATCATTCTGAGCAAATTGTCTCAAGGACCGAAAACCAAACACCACATGTTCTCACTCATAGGTGGGAATTGAACAGTGAGAACACTTGGACACAGGATGGGGAACATCACACACCAGGGCCTGTTGTGGGGTGGGGGGACGGGGGAGGGATAGCATTAGGAGATATACCTAATGTAAATGACGAGTTCATGGATGGAGCACACCAACATGGCACATGTATACATATGTAACGAACCTGCACATTGTGCACATGTACCCTAGAACTTAAAGTATATTTTTAAAAAAACTGTTAAAAAAAAAAAAAAACAACAGCTCTCCATTGATTTTTTGAAGGGTTTTTCATGTCTCTTTCTCCTTCAGTTTAGCTCTGATTTTGTTATTTCTTGTCTTCTGCTAGCTTGGGGACTTGTTTGCTGTTGGTTCTCTAGTTATTGTAGTTGTGATGTTAGGTTGTCGATATGAGATTTTTCTAGCTTTTTGATGTGGGCATTCAGTGGTATAAGTTTTTCTATTAACACTGCTTTAGCTGCCTTTCAGAGATCCTGATATATTGTCTCTTTGTTCTCATTAATTTCAAAGAACTTCTTTATTTCTGCCTTAATTTCATTATACACCAAGAAGTCATTCAGAAATAGGTTGCTCAATTTCCATGTAGTTGTGTGGTTTTAAGTGAGTTTCTTAATCTTGAGTTCTAATTTGATTGTGCTGTGGTCTAATAGATTATTATGATTTCAATTATTTTGCATTTGTCGAGGACTGTTTTATTTCTGATTATGCAATCTATTTTAGAGTAAGTGCCATGTGGTGATCAGAAGAATGTATATTCTGTTTTTTGTTGTTGTTGTTGTTGTTGGAGAGTTCTGTAGATATCTAGCAGATCCACTTGATCCAGAGCTGAGTTCAGGTCCTGAATATATTTTTTAACTTTCTATCTTAATGATCTGTCTAATATTGTCAGTGTAGTGTTAAAATTTCCTACTATTATTATGCGGGAGCCTAAGTCTCTTTGTAGGTCTCTAAGAACTTGCTTGAGAATCTGGGTGCTCCTGTATTGGGTGCATATATATTTAGGATGGTTACCTCTTCCTGTTTAATTAAACCCTTTACCATTATGTAATGCCCTTGTCTCTTTTGATCTTTGTTGGTTTAATGTCTGTTTTGTCAAAAACTAGGGCTGCAACTTGCTTTTTTCTGTTTTCCATTTGCTTGGTCAATTTTTCCCCATCTCTTTATTTTAGTCTAAGTGTGTCTTTGCACGTGAGATGGGTCTCCTGAAGACAGAATACTAACGGGTCTTGACTATTTTTCCAGCTTCCCATTTTGTGTTTTATAATTGGGGCATTTAGCACATTTACATTTAAGGTTAGTATTGTTATATGTGAACTTGATCCTGTCATTCTGATGCTAGCTGGTTATTTTGTAGACTTGTTCATGTGTTTGCTTCGTAGTGTTCCTGGTTGTTGTACTTCAGTGTGTTTTTGTAGTGGCTGGTAATGGTTTTTCCTTTCCATATTCAGTGCTTCTTTCAGGAGATTTGCAAAGCAGGCCTGATACTAACGAATTCCCTATGCACTTGCATGTCTGAAAAAGATCTTATTTCTCCTTCACTTATAAAACTGAATATGGCAGAATAAGAAATTTTATGTTTTTTTTTTTTTAATATTAAATATTGGGCCCCAATCTCTTTTGACTTGTAGGATTTCCACTGGGAGATCCACTGTTAGTCTGATGGCCTTCCCTTTGTAAGTGAAATGGCCTTTCTCTCTGGCTCCCCTTAACATTTTTTTCTTTCATTTTGACCATAGAGAATGTGAGGATTGTTTGTCTTGTGGCGGATCTTCTTGTGGAGTATCTTTCTGTGGATCTCTAGGTTTTCTGAAATTGAACATTGGCCTGTCTTGGTAGGTTAGGGAATTTCTCCTGGATAATATACTGAAGTATGTTTTCCAACTTGATTCCATGCTCCTCATCTTTTTCAAGTACCCCATTCAGTTGTAGGCTCAGTCTTTTTAAATAATGCCATATTTCTCAGGGGTTTTGTTCATTCTTTTCTAATATTTTTTCTATTCTTGTCTGCCTGACTTATTTCAGAAAGATAGTCTTCAAGCTCTGGGATTCTTTCCTCTGCTTGCTGTATTCTGCTATGGATATTGTAATTGTACTGTGACATTCTCAGATTGTGTTTTTCAGCTCCCTCAGTTCAGTTATTCTCCTCTCTAAACTGGATATTCAGGTTATCAGCTCCTGTATCATTTTATCATGATTCTTAGCTTCTTTGCATTCAGTTATGACATGCTACTTTAGCTCAGTGAAGTTTGTTATTACCCGTTTTCTGAAGCCTACTTCTGTCAATATAGGCATCTTAGCTTCAACAAAATTCTGTGCCCTTGCTGGAGAGGTGTTCTGGTCATTTGGAAAAGGCCCTCTGGATTTTTTAGTTTTCAGCATTTTTGCAGTGATTCTTTCTTATGTTTGTGGGCTTATCTACCTTTGATCTTTGTGGTGGCTGATCATTAAATGGGTTTTTTGTGGGGTATTTTTTATTCATGTTGTCGTTGTTGTTGCTTTCTGTTTGTTTTTCTTTCCACACTTAGGCAACTCCCATGTAGGGCTGCTGTAATTTTCTGGGGGCCCATTCCAGATCCTCATTGCCTCACTCCCTCCCACACCTAGAGATATCACCAGTGAAGGCTACGAAATAGCAGAGATGGCAGCCTGCTTCTTTCTCTAGGAGCTCTGTCCCAGAGGAGCACCCACCTGATGCCAGCCCTAATGCTCCTGTAGGAGCAACCACCTGATGCTGGCCCTAATGCTCCTGTCTGGAGACCCCTGTTGGGAAGTCTCACCCAGTCTGAAAGAATGAGATCAACACCCCACTCAAAGAAGCAGTCTGGCTGTCCCTTGGCAGAGTGGGTGAACTACACTGAAGGAAATCGCCCTCATTCAGACTGCCTGGACTGTGTAGAGACAGCAGGCTTGAAAGACTAAGTCAGCTAAACCACAGAGATTGCAGCTGCCCCTGCCCCTAGGGACTCCATCCCAGGGAGATATCAGAGTTCTCGTCTAGACTTCTTGGACTCCCTGGAGCCAGCAGGCTAGAATGGCTGACTCAAACTGCAGAGATGGTGGCTTTCCTTACCCCTAAGAACTCAATCAGTCTCTGTCAGTCTCCAGCCTGCTGCCACTGGCCAGCTGAAATTCTAAACCAGTGGGTCTTAACTTGTGAGGTGCCATTGGAGTGGGGCCTGCATAACAACACACTGTGTGGCTCCCTGGTTTCAGCCCCCTTACTAGGGGAATGCATAGATATATCCCCCACTTCGCCAGAATTCCCTGGGCCAGAGTATGCAAAACTCCTGGGTTTCTGTGTGTGCTGGAGTGGCCACTTTCCCGAGACTCTGCATGGTTTTGTGCTTCAAACCCAAGGCCCTGGTGGTGTGGGCTCACGAGGGGATCTCCTGGTCGGCAGGTCACAAAGGTCCGTGGGAAAAACATGGCTTCCCAAGCTGGATTGCACAATCCCTCACCACTTCCCTTGCCTGGGGATGGGTGTTTATATGGTTCCATACCACTCCAGGGTTGGCCATTGCCTCACCTTGCTTTTCTTCACTCTCCGTGGGCTGAGCCATCAACCTAATCAGTCCCAATGTGAGAACCTAGATACCTAAGTTGAAAGTGCAAAATTCACTTACTATTTTCATTTATCTACCCATACATTTTATGAGACAAATTTCACTTCACTTTTCCTTTCACTCGTTGGGCTCCAGTCACATTGGTCATCTTTCAGTTTCTTATATATAGCAGTGTGCTTCTTTTTACATGTTATTCTTATGGCTAGAATGCCACCTTTCTTATGACCCAATATAGTGTCTGTTACATGGTAATCACCTATTACACATGAGTTGGATAATTTTATTTTTTTGTAGAGGACATTAGCAATAGAGCGGAATGAAACATCCTTACACTTGTTTACCGAAAACCACAAAAACAATTAATAAGTGACTATAAATCAAGAAAGTCGTTCTCAGAATACTCCAGGCAACAAGGAAACAGCAGAAACCCTGTGAAGTACAAGAATAGAGGATGGTCATATAGAAAAGAGTAGAAAAATTTTTATCAACATCAGCCCATCTCCCACTCCAGAGCAGACGGTAACGAAGGGTGATCCCCTCAAAGGGATTTTCCACTTTTGGGAGGGGGAGGGAAGTAGGAGAGGATACCAGCAGTCCTGTTCACCATCACAGTTACCTGCAGCTTTAGCCAGCAGGGACCCTGAAGTTTTCACAGTGCTATGCCCAGCTGATAACTTCCCAGAATCCATGTGCAGTGTTCCCCAACAGAGAAGGAGCCACCGCTGTGTCTCCCGCTCAGGACTGGAGCTGTCACAGGGCTGATCCATGGCCCCAGAGGCCTGAGTCACCACTGTGCTCTCCCTACAGGAATGAAAGTACCATAGCTTCTCATGATCTTCAAGACTGGAGCTGGACTGCCCTGTCCTGCAACCCATCCCCGGGGCCTGAATTTTGGCTGTTACCCAACAATACCAGGGATGTGTTGCCACTTTTCTTCACCCAACTCCCAGACTTCTGAGTCATGACTTCAACCCACCATTACCAGGATGCAACAAATAGTTGTATCAGGTGGGATTTATACTTGGCATGCAAGAAAGCTTCAACATGAAAATCAATAAGTGTGATATACTGCATTAACAGAATGAAAGATAAAACTATCTGATAATATCAATGGAAGGTGAGTAAGCATTTGACAAAATTTAGCACACTTTCATGATAAAAACATTCAAAACACTAGGAATAAAGTAAATTTACTTCACCATAACAAAAGCCATGTATGAAAAACCCACAGTGAATATAATACCCAACAAAGAAAAACTGAAAGTTTTTATTTAAGGTAAGGGAAAAGACAAAGATGCTCACTTCTGTCACTTCTATTGAACATAGAAATAGAAGCCTTAGCGAGAGCACTCAGACAAAAAATAAACTGATGACATCTTTATTGGAAAGAAAGAAATGAAATTATCTCTGTTTTCAGGTGATTAGAGCTTTCATATGGAACATCCTAAAGACTCCATTAAAAAGCAGTTAGAATTAGTAAATGAACTCAGTAAAATAACAAGATACAAAACCAACCTATAGAATCAGTTGCATTGCTATACACTAAAAACAGGTAGACTATTCAAAGAAGGTTATTAAACCAACAATCTTATTAACAGTAGCATCAAAACCAAAAGAAGCACATGGCCCAAATCTTCATCTCTACATAGAGGAGCAACACCCCGGCAACAGAGGACAGACTGCAGAGTTGCCTACCATGGCCTGAAGAACCAAATAGAACTTCTGGAATTAAAAAAAAAAAAAAAAATCCAGGCAAACCTAGAGGTAGAAGCCTCAACAATAGATTAGACCAAAGAGAAGAAATAATTAAAGAGCTCAAAGACTGGTATTTTGTATTAATTCAGTCAGACAAAAATAAAGAAAAAAATTTGTTTAAATAAACACAGTATTTAAAACATATGGAACTATGTAAAGTGACCAAACCTACAACTTTTTTTTTTTAATTTATTTATTATTATTATACTTTAAGTTGTAGGGTACATGTGCATAACGTGCAGGTTTGTTACATATGTATACCTGTGCCATGTTGGTGTGCTGCACCCATCAACTCGTCATTTACATCAGGTATAACTCCCAATGCAATCCCTCCCCCCTTCCCCCTCCCCATGATAGGCCCCTGTGTGTGATGTTCTCCTTCCTGAGTCCAAGTGATCTCATTGCTCAGTTCCCACCTATGAGTGAGAACATGCGGTGTTTGGTTTTCTGTTCTTGTGATAGTTTGCTAAGAATGATGGTTTCCAGCTGCATCCATGTCCCTACAAAGGACACAAACTCATCCTTTTTTATGGCTGCATAGTATTCCATGGTGTATATGTGCCACATTTTCTTAACCCAGTCTGTCACTGATGGACATTTGGGTTGATTCCAAGTCTTTGCTATTGTGAATAGTGCTGCAATAAACATACATGTGCATGTGTCTTTATAGCAGCATGATTTCTAATCCTTTGGGTATATACCCAGTAATGGGATGGCTGGGTCATATGGTACATCTAGTTCTAGATCCTTGAGGAATCGCCATACTGTTTTCCATAATGGTTGAACTAGTTTACAATCCCACCAACAGTGTAAAAGTGTTCCTATTTCTCCACATCCTCTCCAGCACCTGTGGTTTCCTGACTTTTTAATGATTGCCATTCTAACTGGTGTGAGATGGTATCTCATTGTGGTTTTGATTTGATTTCTCTGATGGCCAGTGATGATGAGCATTTTTTCATGTGTCTGTTGGCTGTATGAATGTCTTCTTTTGAGAAATGTCTGTTCATATCCTTTGCCCACTTTTTGATGGGGTTGTTTGTTTTTTTCTTGTAAATTTGTTTGAGTTCTTTGTAGGTTCTGGATATTAGCCCTTTGTCAGATGAGTAGATTGCAAAAATTTTCTCCCATTCTGTAGGTTGCCTGTTCACTCTGATGGTAGTTTCTTTTGCTGTGCAGAAGCTCTTTAGTTTAATGAGATCCCATTTGTCAATTTTGGCTTTTGCTGCCGTTGCTTTTGGTGTTTTAGACATGAAGTCTTTGCCCATGCCTATGTCCTGAATGGTACTACCTAGGTTTTCCTCTAGGATTTTTATGGTATTAGGTCTAACATTTAAGTCTCTAATCCATCTTGAATTAATTTTCGTATAAGGAGTAAGGAAAGGATCCAGTTTCAGCTTTCTACTTATGGCTAACCAATTTTCCCAGCACCATTTATTAAATAGGGAATCCTTTCCCCATTTCTTGTTTCTCTCAGGTTTGTCAAAGATCAGATGGCTGTAGATGTGTGGTATTATTTCTGAGGACTCTGTTCTGTTCCATTGGTCTATATCTCTGTTTTGGTACCAGTACCATGCCGTTTTGGTTACTGTAGCCTTGTAGTATAGTTTGAAGTCAGGTAGCGTGATGCCTCCAGCTTTGTTCTTTTGACTTAGGATTGTCTTGGAGATGCGGGCTCTTTTTTGGTTCCATATGAACTTTAAAGCAGTTTTTTCCAATTCTGTGAAGAAACTCATTGGTAGCTTGATGGGGATGGCATTGAATCTATAAATTACCTTGGGCATTATGGCCATTTTCACGATATTGATTCCTCCTATCCATGAGCATGGTATGTTCTTCCATTTGTTTGTGTCCTCTTTTATTTCACTGAGCAGTGATTTGTAGTTCTCCTTGAAGAGGTCCTTTACATCCCTTGTCAGTTGGATTCCTAGGTATTTTATTCTCTTTGAAGCAATTGTGAATGGAAGTTCATTCCTGATTTGGCTCTCTGTTTGTCTGTTACTGGTGTATAAGAATGCTTGTGATTTTTGAACATTAATTTTGTATCCTGAGACTTTGCTGAAGTTTCTTATCAGCTTAAGGAGATTTTGGGCTGAGACAATGGGGTTTTCTAAATGTACAATCATGTCATCTGCAAACAGGGACAGTTTGACTTCTTCTTTTCCTAACTGAATACCCTTGATTTCTTTCTCTTGCCTTATTGCCCTAGCCAGAACTTCCAACACTATCTTGAATAGGAGTGGTGAGAGAGGGCATCCCTGTCTTGTGCCAGTTTTCAAAGGGAATTTTTCCAGTTTTTGCCCATTCAGTATGATATTGGCTGTGGGTTTGTCATAAATAGCTGTTATTATTTTGAGGTACGTTCCATCAATACCAAATTTATTGAGCGTTTTTAGCATGAAGGGCTGTTGAATTTTGCAAAAGCCTTTTCTGCATCTATTGAAATAATCATGTGGTTCTTGTCTTTGGTTCTGTTTATATGCTGGATTATGTTTATTGATTTGCGAATGTTGAACCAGCCTTGCATCCCCGGGATGAAGCCCACCTGATCATGGTGGATAAGCTTTTTGATGTGTTGCTGGATTCGGTTTGCCAGTATTTTATTGAGGATTTTTGCATCAATATTCATCAGGGACCAACCTGCCAAAACTAGAAAACTAGAAAACCTAGAAAAAATGGATAATTTCCTGGACACGTACACTCTCCCAAGACTAAACCAGGAAGAAGTTGAATCCCTGAATACAACAATAGTAGGCTCTGAAATAGAGGAAATAATTAATAGCCTACCAACCAAAAAAAGTCCAGGACCAGATGGATTCACAGCCAAATTCTACCAGAAGCAGAAGGAGGAGTTGGTACCATTCCTTCTGAAACTATTCCAATCAATAGAAAAAGAGAGAATCCTCCCTAACTCATTTTACGACACCAATATCATCCTGATACCAAAGCCTGACAGAGATACAACAAAAAAAGGTGTCCTCTAATTTAACTCAGTTCTGACACTATCTACCTAGAGATGGAGCTTTTGATTGATCTTGTGCTACTGACTGCTTCATGAATTTCTTCTTGGGTTTAATTTTTCTACAGTGGTTCAAAGAATCAGGGGAACATTTTATTTAAATTTTCCTATTTACTATAAAAGTATTATGAAGGATACAGATGAACAGCCAGATGTAAGAGATACATAGGGCAAAGTATGGGAGAAGGAGCACAGAACTTCCATGTCATCTTTGGTTGTATCAGCCTCCAAGAACCTTCACATATTTAGCTATCCAGAAGCTTCTAGGACTCACTTCTTTATAACTTTTTTTTTTTTTTTTACTTTTTAATTTTCTGTGTACCTAGTAGGTGTATATATTTATGGGGTGCATGAGATGTTCTGATACAGGCATGCAATGTAAAATAAGCCCATAATAAAGAATAGGGTGTCCAGTTCCTCAGAAATGTATCCATTGAGGTACAAGCAGTCCAATTCCACTCTTTAAGTCATTGTAAAATGTACAATTAAGTTGTTATTATCTATAGCTACCTTATTGTGATATCAAATATTTTTGTACCTATGAACCATCCCCATCTCCTCTCCCACAGCACCCCACTACCCTTCCAAGACTCTTCTTGGAACCATTCTTCTACTTTCTATATTTATGAGTTCAATTGTTCTGAATTTTAGATCCCATGAATTTTAGACTCCATGAATAAGTCAGAACATGTAACGTTGATTTTTCTGTGTCTGGCTTATTTCACTTAACATAATAATTTCCAGTTCCATTCGTGTCATTGCAAATGACTGCATCTCATTCCTTTTTATGGCTATTGTAAACAGTGTTGAAAGAAACATAGTAATGCAGATATCTCTTTGATATACTGATTTTCTTATTTTGGTTATATACCCAAAAGTGGAAATGCTGGATCATACAGTAGGTCAATTTTTAGTTTTTTGAGGAACCTCCAAACTGTTCTTCATAGTGGTTGCACTAATTTACATTCCCAAAAATAGTGTACAAGGGTTTCCTTTACACCCTATCCTTGACAGCATTTGTTACTGCCTGTCTTTTGGATGTAAGCCATTTTAACAGGGGTGAGATAATATCACATTGTAGTTTTGATTTGCATTTCTTGATGA